TTATTGGGTTGTCCGGTGTCCGTAGCGTCAACGATACTTCATCGCTGTTAGCGAAGGCTATTACGAAGATGTGAAACTCCGCTCACACTGCCGACCAAATGGTCGGCCACCTACAACCCGAAAAAGTCAAAAAAAATTTTTCGCTCAAAACTTGCTCCTAGGGGTAATCGACAGTCCTGATCACGATTCTAGACTTTATTTCGGTTCCAGCCATCTGGCGCCGAAGAGCTGAGTCTGTGCATTACTAAACGAATTCGAACGAAAAAGCAGTTTTGCTCCATAAAAGTAGGATTGTTCAGTTCATCGTGAATGTTTTTATTAGGACCAATTATTTAGACAAACATGGATCCAAAAAATGAAAAATTGTAGAAAAGCAAAATTTTGTCCTCGGTGGGATCCGAACCATCGACCTATTTTTTACGTTTTTTTTTTATTCGTAGAAGCGCGCAGCGAAAACGAACCTCAGTTTTCTGGTCCTCGTATGTGCCCCTACAATATGCACAAGACCATTTTGAAAAAGCTCACCACGCCCTGAACGACCTCCCTTGTTCAGTGCTGCATCTTCTCTACCTTCTCTAGCGTGAGTGTGTGGTTTGATGCGTAAATTAGTAGTGACGCAAGCGCTGCACTTTGAGGGTAGCGCGGGCGCAGTTCCGGGAAAACGTTACACCCGAATATCACTGTCCTTAGTCTTGCTTCGCCTATGCTCCCAAGCGCCGAAAAGCCTACATTTATGAAGGCTGCCAAGCGCGTTTCATTCTCGCATTATGACAAGACGATTCTCGAAGCGTAAAGTGTACAGATCGTCTTCAACAACATCGTAGGATGCATCAGAAACAGTGTTTATTTTTACGTCTGTGGATATCGATGCGCAGTAACCTCCTCATGCCCTCTGTACACATTCACTCTCTCCTACAACTAACAATTCCAGTGAATACCACTGAACACGTTCCAAAGTTTCAAGACATCGTAATCTCAGAAGCACTCACAAAAATGGTTGATTCATTTATTACTAAATGAAGTGTGTTGATACTAAATAAGTTGAAAATAAAGCAGCGAAATTAGCCAAAGTCTTTCTGGAACTAATATTCGCTCACACTTTCTTGCGCAGGATCGAATCTAATCGGAAAACGTGCTAGAAAACATGACCGAAAAACCGCTGTTCGAATCTCCCAGCTACTATAGATTGAACAGAAAACTCAGCTTTTCAACAATTTTGCGTTATGAAATAACTGAATTTCTTCTGTGTTGGTCCAAGGAAGCGGACCGCCTTGTAGGCTCCCGAAGATCGAAGGTGACCGACCATTATGAGAATGGAGCGGAGAATGCTTCCGATTTCCTGTTGACTTACTTGATCTGCCGAGAACTGGCGAGAGGAGAGAGAGCCCAGGAAGGAATTCTGAGAGACCATCACTTTCAAATTCCTCTCCAGGAGATCGATGGCAATTCCCTCTTCCAATCTCCCTGCGCCCTCCTTCCCACGACACCTATACACGACATTCCTGAGATCGGGTAGGCGTGGCCGCATGTTTCAACTTGATTGAAGGTGTCTATGCTTCTGGTGGAATATATCCATCTTGACACAGCTGTTATCGTCGTGTCTCTGTTTAACACAGAACAAGATGAGAGTTGCTCCAGACCGGGATATACCACGAGTAACCAGTTCCGTGCAATGGTCGAATGCCACGCCTACCCTGGCTCAGGGATAAGGAGTGTATTTTCGCTGTTACCTATCGATCGTCGTGATTTTGTTTGTCTTGATTTTGAATAAATTGTTTGTTTCACACATGTGATTGCTCTCACCGTGCTCATATCTGAAGCCTCACTTATCACCTGGGGGACAATTATAACCCCACTCTATAACACAGTGAAGTGTTTTCGTATCCCGAAAGCAGATTTTCTTTGACTCAACAAGCTCAAATGAATCTTCATTAAAATTTTCACCCTGTCCCAACACAACAATTTTTTTCAAGAAAATTCACTCCTAGGCGAAAGAACAACTCTGTGCATATCAGAAACACAATTCACATGAGACTGACTGAGCCATTGTCAGACATCATTTGTCACGGAAAGATCAGAGAAGACAAGAGACCAATTGAGATCGTTCTCTAATAAGAAACACTCAGAACGTCAAAATATGGTCTAAAATATAACACTGTCGACCCAAATATTCCTACTAACCCGCTGAACGATAGCTGAGCTGAACAATACTAGAGTGAGCATCAAAGTGGAGGGTGGGAAACCACAACATCGGGAGAAGGCACAATCTCACTCGGCAAACTATTAAAACAAAGCAGATATAAGCCTATAACAAGGGCGACCTAGAGACCTAACATATCGATCTGGTCAAAAAGGAAAGAAACAGGAAAGTACAAAGTGCAAATAAACATCCTATTTGTGCTTCTGCAACACGAATCTACGACACCTGAAAAGAATGTGTGATGAGAGCGTAAGTCACCATCAGGGGGCAGCTTCAATCCAAGCTATATTATAAACTTGTGAATGCGAACTCTATCAAGGCTTCGAACAAATGAGGCATCCACAAGAACAGCTGGTGATCTTCACCATAACAGGGGTGCAGACACGGCACACATCGCGCTGTGTAAGATTTCTGCTAAATACGACCACACCCCTAAAAGGTCTCGGTACTACCCTGCCCAAAAACCATGAGATATCGAATCCAGTACTTAAATATTGAAGGTTCGTGCCTGTTCCTGCACTGGAGCCTATTTCGCGGTATCTTTTGTACGCTAGGAACCACGAAAACACCTAAATACGACCCCACGCCTGAAAGAAGGTCCCGGTCCTACCCTACCAAAAATATCGAATCCCACACCTAAATATTGAACGTTCGCGGGCATTCATTAGTTGCACTGGAGCGAACTATTTCGCGGTAGCTTTTCAAAACAGGTCAGGAACTACGAAAGTACTCTTTTGAACATCCAGAACTTCCTGAAAATAGAGCATCTGAAGGGGAGAAAGCAGGTTGTGAAGCTCTGGGCGGCTTCTTTATGAATTTTTTATATTTATTCAAATGAGCTGGAGTTATTTCGCCAACACCTCTTTGACGAAATTTTCCCATCGTGACGCCGTTGCTGAATTTAGCATCACCTACAAATTTTCGTATTTAAACGGCCAGAACTTTTCTCATGTGTGTGACCTCTCAATAATGAAGCCGGAGTCTAGAAGATTTCCACTTAATAGCAAGCACCTCAGTTTTTTCCTTGGCCCGTTCCTTGTGAAAAAAATTTTCTTTGTTCCTATTTGCTGCTGGCAGTTTCTGACGCCACAAAAAACCCATGTCTCCACCACAATGCCATTTCCAGTTCGCTTGAGACTTGATGACGCTTCTAGGAGACATCTTTTCGTTGAAGTTATTATGACTAGCAAAGAAATTCTGACAGACTCCCTGGATGGGAACGCTGTCCTACGGCTGACCTATTTCACGCTGTTGATATTGGACACTAGTTATCAAGTCCAGGTAGTGGTAGTACAAAAAATATCTAAGACATGAAGAAGCACTAGACTTTTATCCTAGCAGCTCACTACTGCCTTTCGAAATCATCCTACTATAATAATCCGCTAAGTATGTCTGGGTGTGTGTGTGTGCGTGTGTGTGTCCGTGCGTCTGATGCGTCACGACAAAAAATCATTAGCGCCGTCGCGGAGCAGTGAGACATTGGTTCCAAGCAAGTGCATTGTAGGCGGCGTGTGACGGGACACTTAGGGTTGGCAATAAAGTGATATCAGTTGATAAGATCCGATAAGAGGCATTAGAAGGGGAAGGTTACCATATTCATAACGTGATAGCATCAGCTCTTGATTCCAAGATATGATGTAGAGTACGGGCCAAGAACATTATTTTTGGGTGACAAGAACTGCGAGCTGCTGATAAGATTCGATAAGGAGGCTTCAGAAGGGGAAGGTCACCATATTCATAACGCGGGTGACAGCCTCGGCGAAGGCGCTCATTTCAGCAAATGATATCTAGGGTGAGATGGGGACAACAACCGTGGGTGGCTGGAAGCGATAACAACTGATAGCTGATAAGAGACGTTCAGTCGTCGTCGCTGCTGAAGGCGGTGCAGCTTTTACATTACTAAATTATAAGGATTTAGTGATAAGGACATTGATGACGGGTGGCAGGTAATCATATCATCCTATAAGAATGGATAAGATACCATCTGCGCCACATTTTTATCACTCCTTACCGCTTTAATGCCGACTATTAGAGGCTCAGTGCGTGAAGACTTTCCTTCGATATGTTCGATGTACGCATACAATAGAGCGGTTGCTTAAATGCCGTGAAATCAGTGTGCGAGCCGGGGAAAGGCGGCGGTGGTATTAGTCGAAACGAGGAAAATCGATAAAATCATATCAATCAAAACTTTTCGGAAAACTGCCTGTTATATGATGGGCAACGTTGTGTCAAGTGGTGAAGTTCGCAATTGAAGCAAAATAAGGAAGGAACCCAACAACTGGGAGTGGAGACGTTTCATCGGTGGTAACATTCGACCTCTCCGTGTGACACGTACTTTGACATGTACAAGGCAATGTGAAGTTCTCCTTCTCAGTGCTACCCAAAATCCTGCAGTTATGCCTCCCCCCGGTTGTTAAAGACTCATCCGGACTCATTCAACTCTACCCATGTCACAACTCGCCATCCTTGGGTTGGTCATGGCCCCTCAGACCCTCTCCCACGGTGAAAGCCAAAGGTGGCGGGTATTTTTTTAATAAAATGTAGGAAAATTAGTCGAAAAAGCCGAACCAAGAGGGACCATATGTTGCTAGGTAACGACTGATGTTCGGCTTTTTCAACTCATTTTCCTTAAAATTCTCATTAAAAAATACCCGCCACCTTTGGCACACATTTAGCGCGTTCTACCACGCCCGAGGGAGGAGTGCCTGGCGAAGCCGGGCCGTTAAACAGAAGTAGGAGCACCCGGCGGCAGCCGGGTGATCCGACTGGTATTAAATAAGACACTTCAACGAAACAAACCTCAGCGCTTTTTCATAGAACATTCCGAGCAGAACCACTGTCCTTTCGGTTCAACAACTAGACCAACACATTCAAAATGGAACCACTGATATTTACACTGAACGAAATAGTAGAATATTCAGTGATAATATTCGGGTAATGCTCAGAATGAGACTAAATCCTACCTCCGGATCATCACAGCATATCATACTTCCACTTGACACCTGAAAAATATTAATTCACCAGTATTTATGCAATATAGATGAGGGACGAGTAAGGTTGCATATCAAAAAGAAAAAAATTAAAAAAAATAGAAAAAAAAACAAAGATAACACTGTGAGCTACATAATAACATTATACCTCTCTACAAAAACACCATCGCTCGTTGCCCTCAGCATCGACAGAGTCCCCTTTAACAGCACTTCGTTTGAACTTTTCTCGATCTTTATGATTTTGTAGAAGTTCTACAGCCCGTTCTGTCATTCTGAAAGAATCACAGTCAATATCTGACAGGATTTTCCTGTAACGGCAAAAGTTGTATACTAGGACTAGTCCACTCAAAAAAGGTGTCCGAGGGAAAGTAGGGAAAGTTCGGTAACGGGGGGGGGGGGCATTTTGCAATTTCGCCGCTTTCCATAGACGTGTCGAGCCATCTAGAAAGCTAATTCATGAGCTCAGAGAAGCTGACAGGTTCGAACATGGTGATTCGACGGACTGCTCCAACTTCGCAAGAGTTCACAGGTTTCATCAGAGTGAGAATTGTGAACAGGATCTAGTGAAGCAGCGTGCAAAAGCAAAATGTACAAAATGATCCCTCCTCCCGTCGCCGAACTGTACCGGCTTAGACGTTACCAACTTTCTTGGACGTCCATGTAAGCTGGTCGTTTCGTTCACATTTCCGAAAGAAATGCTTGTTCTCTTCTTTCGATCCCATGAAGAGGTGCTGGTCGAAGGCGAAGGTGATGACGCAGCTGAGTCAAGCAGTAGGCCCTGCATAGCTGGCGACTGTGGAAATGTCTGCAACAAGAAATATTGCTATAGTGAAAGATAGGTTTTTTCGTGTGCTATTAATTGTGATCGTTAAAACCACAAATCCGGAACGTTTCGAATTTCAACTGAAACGAGCTAAATCATGAGAACATTTGTTTTTTTAGAGTTTTGAGGCCACAGTTCTTCCCAGAAAGACCCTATGTTTTCGCAATTAGTATCAGGATGGGAAGAAAGTCCTGCGACACTTTGACCATTATTTGCGACCGAATTTCTCCTCACTAAGCGACACCTCCAATCTGCTAGGTAGACACCGTTAACAATTTACGGGCCACCGCATCTCCATAACACTTCATCATTTTTCATCCATTGTTCCCTTTAACCTGTAATTCAATCTCTCTTTCCAATCGATTATGAAGCATGTATTTTCCGTAAGCGAGAACGTGTTTTACAACATTAGAATATGAAAGAAAGCCGAATTAATCAAATGAAACACTGCATAGAGACAAATGCATGACACACCACGTGTGTTACGCGGTCCGGAACGTGTCAGTAGCTAGGAGGAGTGCCCACCATTTGCACAGCTTCTCGTTTCCAATATTGTATTAGGTTGTCCGGAAAGTTTTCAGCGTTTTGGGTGTTTCACTTTAAACGATCGTAACTTCTTTAATACTCATCGGATTTAAAGGCACAGTTCGCGACCGCAATTTGCGGGAAACGTAACTCAAATAGGCACAACAAAGCTAGTTTGCGTTATAGCATGTCGAGTTATGCCTCGGAGAAACACCTAGCAAAGAAAAGCATAAAGTCATCTGCACACATGTTATATATATAAATTCGATAGAAGATGAGTAGCTCACATTAGCTAAATAGTCCTAGCAGGGCTTGTGACGGTACTTTGAGAGGTACAGGCTAGAGAGCTTACGGCTCATGAGAGTCGACGGCGCTATTTTATTATCCAAGACTTCCTGCGGAGTTCTTATACGCAGCGGTTTTTTTCATCGCAACATTGAAAGGTAGCACACGCATGCATAATATAGAATACCGCCTTCGCCGGATTCAGTCCGACACATTATCGAGAGGTCAATAGCCTTACTTTTCACTCGCGGCACTGTGCCCTTAATCCGAATTGGCGGCCATTCGACACCGGAGCCACACTTTTGAGCCAATGTGACGACGTCATGTTCGACGAAATCCGTCAGATACGTTAGAACTAAAGACTGTGGGTCGAGAGCTTAGAATATCGCAACGACGCATGAATTAGATGCTGACTTCTTTGAACATGGTTCGCTCGCATATGATAGTCAATGATTATTGTCATGCCAGCCCAGGGGAGTTGACTCAGGAGAGATTGTATGTTAAAAAAGGTGATCAGTGCGGTTGGCGAACCAGATCGAAGAATATTGCGGTTGAGGACATGTAGACAGTTCCACGAGTCCCTCTTAGGTCAAATCTCGATTCCAATTTATGGATTCACTGATTTGTGATTCGTGTGACGGGGGCGTTAGACCATCAATACGCCGTAAGTATCGACTCCTTTGCATCTTTGATCAAGTGCTTCGGGATGCAGTTCGCATGACAAATATATGACACTCTCCACTCGGATCAGCAGACAATATCTTCACTAGTAAGGTGATATCTGCTGCTCAATGCGTTGGATCCTGGTATAAAAGTTATAGTGGATCACACCAGCCGATGACCACCAAGCCGTGACCAGAATCTTTTTTCGTGAGGGTTCGGCTTTGAAAATTACCTCGGTGGTTCGTCGAAATCCAACCACTGTCCGGAACGTCTGTTATCATACATGACCCATTTTTCATCACAGATGACAATTCGGAAATCACCACAATGAAAGGGTCGTTCTGCTGCGCAAAAGCAATGCGAGTAAGGAGCACTCATCCCCTCAGACGGTGCCATTTCTGCCGGTCCTCCGGATTGTGGGCGACCCGAATTGTCGAGTTTTTTTCCGCTGTAGCACTTCGCTACAATACCGTTCGCAGACATCTGCATCAGTGGATTGTCGAAGGGCTGGTCCCATACTTGCTATCATCGACGTGTTTGGGGATGGGGTCAACCTCCAAAAGTACGCGCAGCTACAATATCCTCTGATACAGATAAAGCTTCTTTATTTCGGACCGCTAGAGCGTTCAGCTCAAGGCTGAATCTCCAGACGAAAATTTTGGCCGTATCCGAGAAATATCTTGCCTCACGCTCAACGTGCTTTCTCATTAACACAACTGCGCGCGCTGCTACGAATGCGCCGCTTAATTGCTGTCTAAGTTACTGATTGCACGAAAATGCCGAGGTGTTGCCGCGCCTAATTTGTTTCGCTATGTGCGCACGACGAAAAAGTCGTCCCGAAGTTGCTCTTCTTACCATGCTTGCAAAATCTTGACAAAAAGGGGGTTAAATAACATGAATAACGGTCGAAACGAAGCAGAACTAGCGCGTTTTACAAGATAAATGGTGTCATTCAAGGTGCTTCTGCGCGAGTATTATTACCATCCGGGGTAAGCGTGGCCAGAATTTCTCCCGTTATAATTGGGATGAGTGCTACCTCATGAGAGGTCCTTAGACCAGTGGGGCAGGAGATCGGTTAAGTATGAGGCGCAGTGAATGTAAGCAGGGTGCAGACGCAAAACGCTGTGGACGGTCGTCTCGTGACGCAACGTATAATATTAGGTTGTTGCATAAGTTCCTTATATCAGGGACTGTGTCTTTTTTGCGACAAGTAACTTGTCAAAACGAACCCCGCTGGAGCATTTCAAGAGAGGTATGCACTCCCATCACCGAAGACTTCAACTACTCGACCAATTCGACGCCAGCGCTCAGGCAGCTTGTCGATTCCATCCTTCCAGAACGACGGAGGCTGGGACTTGAAGAAGTCGTCGAGCGCCTTTCTGACCTGATCCTTTGTTTCGAACTTTTTCCGTCCAGATAGCGCTGCAGGTGGCTGAACAGCCAGTAGTCAGAAGGAGCGAGGTCAGGGCTGTAGGGAGGGTGGGCGACCATCAGCCATCCGTACTTCTCCAGCTCGGCCTGAATCGCCTTTGCGAGTGGTTGATGTCGGGCGTTGTACTATGGATGATCTGTATGAGTAGCATTATTTTCCGCATTCCTCACGAGGTATCGGTCGACGTATATTTTTCAAATCTCTCTAGCACTCGGTAACACCAGTATGTGGAGGCGTCAATCGTTTGGCTTATTGATCCTTCTCTAAGAATCATGCTCCTCAGTGACTATAACTATGCTCTTTTTTTTGTGGTGTGTGACTAGGCCCACCACAAGCATTAGGACAGCGAGGACAACGTTTTTCGGGGTGAAGGTCGGCTTGTCGGGGGTTTGGCTTTCTGTGGTCCATTGAGTCTCCCTGTGTCGAGGCTTCACCGCACTCGCGCGGCTCCTCACAAGAGTAAATGGGACGGTATGATAGGGACCACTTCGTGTACTCTCATGTGTGTGGAATTCCCTGATGGGAGTTTAAAAAGGTAACGGCCATTGCTGGAACGTGACAGAAGAAGAAGTGCAGGTGGAACCCTCCTCGAGAGGTCATATACGACATTCATGTGGGAGCCCCTCAACAAGCCACCAAATTGCTTTGCTACCTTGCGAGCTTCTGCTCCGGCACTCGGGGAAAATAGTGTCACTGGCGAGTCTGGCTAAAGAATGAAGCATTGCGCTAGCAGTTCGACCGCATTTGCGTGAGTGGAGGCACGTATATCAATTGGGGGGTGTTGGGTCCTGCTTTTTAAAGCGTGAGGGTGGAAACGTCGTTACTTCCCTCAATCCAACTTCCAGTCGTGGACCGACGACCTCGGAGCATCTTCGAGAGAAAAGTCTCCTTCTTGAATTTGGCGAACCAATTCTTGCATGTCATGTAAGAGATGACGTCCTCACCGTATGTATCCACCAGCTTGGTATGGGCTTCCTTTGCATTCCAGCCGAAATCGTGGAGCAAAACCAAACAGTGGCGCAGGTGCTAGTGTAATGAAAGAGTATAACGTACACGTGATGACGTAATACCAACATCCATGCGAACGAAGAAATAGGAACAAAGGATCAAAACCCGTGTATAGAACTCATGGGACACAACCCCTAATAGACCTAACGCAGCTAAGATGAATAGAAGCGTGTGTACCTCTTTTTGGTGATTTTCAAAAATTTCACTTTCTAGGGACAAAAGGGTGGTAGTAGACGCTGCTAAGTTCGGTGAATAAGCTGAGTACGATCGCATTCTCATATCGAAATCCATAAACCTTTAGCGCAGCCTTTATCGCCCACACCCTCCCCTTTCTATGCGGTCTTCCCATTGTCCGAGGAGAAAGAAAACGAGTTTTCTAAAAGGAAAAAAGCGTGACGTCATTCATGTTCTGAAGTTGCTTAAGGTCGGCCGCATCCGTCCAGTAGTCAGCGATACTGTTCTGAGGTTTCACCAGTAACACAGAGAACGCAATGAGAGTTTGCACGATCGTAGCAATTTTTCTGCTCTTTCACTGAGCAGGCGACTTTCTGTGACAGATCCTCGTGAAGTTATGTCTGGTTTTACGCAAAGAACCAACTTTCCTCCATCCACAATGTCTCAAGAAATAGTCCTTGTGTACATGTATAAATGTGTATAAGAAAGAGAAAACTCATTCAGGGCCATTCGGTGCGCCTTGTCAGACTCAGCACATGCGGCACCATTTACGGAAAAATTGTCCTATAAGCAGGCATGGCGGAGAAGCATGGCAGTTGTCTCGGTGCAGCCTAGAGATGTTCATGATTATGAGATGGTGGTCATGTTTGGCTGCGTCTATAGCGGGTTGAGTGAATGGCGGTCATTCTCAGAAGATGGCCGACCTATATATTGCCTAAAACGGGACACTGTAGCATGGCAAGCGATAACCGTACTGAAGATAACTCAGGTGTTACCTCACTCGACTACGGCAAAGTGACTTTGCAGGAACCAGGGCACATCATTGGTTGGGGAATTTAGTCGAGTCTGTACGACCCCCCCCCCCAATTTTTTT